CATATGGTTTGCCCGTCAGGGGGACAAAGGACCTCAGGAGTGAGAAGAGATGAACCCGGCCACACTGGGCTACAGGGTGTTTGTGAGCTCATTAGAATAATGAGCTCATCAGGGGGAATTGTAAAATTATGATATTATTTTATGCCATGTTAGACCCCGAAATAAAGATTGTGAATTATTATGTAGTTTAAGTTGGCATTATTCTCCTGAATTAGAAGAAGGTGATAATTATTGCAGTATTTAAACTGATTTGCATTGCATTAGACTGCTGATTTATTGTGAATGAATGATATTGTTTATGATGCATTATACTGTTGAGTTATAAGGAATACTGTTCGCAGAAAGTCATCGCCTTATTTGTCTGATTAGAAGAGAATAGAACATGCTGGAGTTTTCTGCCCCATCTCAGCAGGAGCAGATAAACAGGGAGCCAAGGTCGTAGCTTAGGCGCCGTGTGAGAGAAAGAATGTGAATGTTAAGGCTTTTATGATAAGATGGGAGAACCAGAGGCTATAAGAGTTTGAGCAATGCTCCACCACTTTGAGATTTGAGGCTGTCTGCATCAGTGTCCATCTCCCACGTGTGTGACCATTAAATCATCGTTTGACTCAACCCGACGGACCACCGTGTTGTTATTGTGGTTTTTTCTTGTCTCCATCCCCAATATTTTGAACCTTAACAAGAGCAAAGTGGGAGTGAGGGAAAAACACCAGGGTTTGTAGCCATGGTTCATTTTGTGTAAGAAAATATAGACTTTGAATCATTTGAATGATGATAAAAATATTTCAACAAACATAAAGGCAGAGAAAACTGCATAGGTCCTTGAGTCAGAGGTCCAGGTGCCTTTGCTGCCCCGTCAGGCATGTGTGTGTGTGTGTGTGTGTGTGTGTGTGTGTGTGTGTGTGTGTGTGTGTGTGTGTGTGTGTGTGTGGTGTGTGTGTGTGTGTGTGTGAGACTCACCTCCCATTAGGAAGAGGAGGCCGGCCACATATTGCATGAGGCCTCGGTCCCAGCAGCAGCCCAGCAAACCAATGACCCAGCCGAACAGGATGATGGCCACAGCCATGCCCATGAAACCAGCTGTCATTCGCCGCAAGTCTGAGGAAAGACATTAAGTGAGAAATTGAGTGTTATGGTCATCATCAGAATAAATGCTGCAGCTTATTTATTCTGTTTGAGTGACGAGAAATCAGAATATATTAGTCATGACAGAAACAACACGTGAATAGTTCATGACCTTGTTTTATTGTTGTTGCAAATAAACACTTTGTTTTTTTTAAGTATTATTTTAAATAGACATGCGCTTCATTTAACTTACACACTAGCACATCTTCGGGAAAAGTTAGAAAAGAGGCAACAAAATACTGTGAAGATTATTGAAACATGTCAGTAACATTTCAAAGACCACACCCTGCATATATTCCAAAGCATGGATCTGTTGTAAAGAGTGAAATCCAGTACGTTCTGGACCTGAGAGGAAAGCTACACGTGTTCGGGATGTTATCACCAGAGAATCTGCCTCGGGCACAGCAACGTCAGCTGTACAGCCGAGGAGCTCGACTCAGGCAGTTTTCATCAGGAGGTAAAGGGCTTGTACTGCTTTCTTTATCCAGCTCAAAGTTACTCGCCAAGTGACGAGGACCCACGTGGTCACACGGCGAGTGGGTGGGCGGACGGGTGGAGCCAAACAGATATATCACTCTTAAAAGCATGGAGAGAAGCTCTGCTGCAAATGACCAGCTACAAACCAAAACAGAGAGACAGGATGACACAGAGTACCCTCTGGACTACACACTAACTACACACTGACTACACACTCACACACTGACTACACACTGACTACACACTAACTACACACTGACTACACACTCACTACACACTAACTACACACTGACTACACACTGACTACACACCAACTACACACTGACTACACACTAACTACACACTGACTACACCTAACTACACACTGACTACACACTCACTACACACTCACTACACACTGACTACACACTACTAACTACACACTAACTACACACTCACTACACACTAACTACACACTGACTACACACTGACTACACAAACTACACACTGACTACACACTCACTACACACTAACTACACACTGACTACACACTGACTACACACTAACTACACACTCACTACACACTGACTACACACTCACTACACACTGACTTTACACACTAACTAACACACTAACTACACCACTGACTACCACACTCAACTACACACTAGACTACACACAACCACACTAACTACACACTAAACACACTGACTACACACTCACTACACACTAACTACACACGACTAACACTAACTACACACTAACTACACACTCACTACACCACTAACTACACACTAACTACACACTGACTACACACCAACCTACACCACTACACACACTCACTACACACACTAACTACACACCTAACTACACACCTGACTACACACTAACTACACACTTAACTAACACCACTCACTGACTACACACTAACTACACACTGACTACACACTAAACTACACACTAACTACACACTGACTACACACTCACTACACTCACTAACTAACAACTACACACTAACTACACCACTGACTAACCACTGACTACACACTAACTACACACTACTACAACTACACTACACACTAACTAACACCTACTACACACTAACCTACACACTGACTACACACTACTACACACTAACTACACACTAACTACACACTCACTACACACTAACTACACAGTCACTACACACTACTACACACTAAACTAACCACTAACTACACCACTAACTACACACCATAACTAACACACTGACTACCACACTCAACTAACACACTAACTACACACTAACTACACACTAACTACACACTGACTACACACTAACTACACACTAACTACACACTACTACACACTGCACACTACACACACTAACTACACACTGACTACACACTAACTACACACTAACTACACACTACTACACACTAACTACACACTAACTACACACTGACTACACACTCACTACACACTACTACACACTAACTACACACTAACTACACACTGACTACACACTAACTACACACTACACTACACACTACTACACACTAACTACACACTGACTACACACTCACTACACACTAACTACACACTAACTACACACTGACTACACACTACACAATACTACACACTGACTACACACTAACTACACACTGACTACACACTCAACTACACCACTTAACTACACACTGACTACACACTCACTACACACTAACTACACACTAACTACACACTGACTACACACTCACTACACACTAACTACACACTAACTACACACTCACTACACACTGACTACACACTAACTACACACTAACTACACACTCACTACACACTAACTACACACTCACTACACACTAACTACACACTAACTACACACTAACTACACACTGACTACACACTAACTACACACTGACTACACACTAACTAACACACTAACTACACACTACACATACTACACACTAACTACACACTAACTACAACACTACACTACACCACTAACTACACACTAACTACACACTAACTACACACTGACTACACACTACACTACACACTGACTACACACTACTACACACTGACTACACACTAACTACACACTAACTACACACTGAACTACACACTAACTACACACTGACTACACACTACTACACACTAACTACACACTAACACACTAACTACACACTGACTACACACTAACTACACACTAACTACACACTAACTACACACTAACTACACACACTGACTACACACTAACTACACACTAACTACACACTAACTACACACTAACTAACACACTAACTACACACTAACTACACACTAACTACACACTGACTACACACTAACTACACACTGACTACACACTCAACTAAACACACTACACACTACACTACACCACCTAACTACACACTAACTACACACTAACTACACACTAACCACTACACCACTGACTACACACTAACTACACACTAACTACACACTGACTACACACTCACTACAACTAACTACACCACTCCACTACACACTAACTACACACTAACTACACACTGACTACACCACTAACTACACACTGACTACACACTAACTACACACTAACTACACAATAACTACACACTGACTACACACTGACACACACTCACTACACACTGACTACACACTAACTACACACTGACTACACACTAACTACACACTAACTACACAAGATTTACGCTAAACGCCGCAAACATCTCACATCTCAAACACGCTGTCACTCCTAAAACTTCCCCCTTCCTAAACATGGTACATTTTGCCACCAATAGGAAAGGCTGGGGGGTTTTTTGGGGGGGGGGGGGGGGGTTTGGCTCACAGGCTTTCGAGCGTTTTCCTTATAAAACGCTGTTTTTACCGTTTCTTCCGCAGTAAATATAAACAACGACAGTATTCAGGAAGAAAAACAAACACTGCAGATATTTTATCATAACTCTGGTTTTACGTGGCCGATCAACACGATTTACAAACTGGTATAAAGTCCACACTTTGTCCGTCAGTTGTTCCGTCTGTCCTGCTCACATCTCCAATGGTTGTACACGTTGTCATTAACGTGGCTTCACTCCACATCAGCCGCTTTGCTAAAACACCGGCACATAAGGACGCTGTCAGTCAACCACGTTGATTAGCTGCATACGAATGTGAATCGCATCATTGGCTCGGACTATGGGATAACGTAATCCCTTACGGGAGCAGCCAGTCACTGACTAACACTGCAGAACAGAATTGTTAAAGTTTTCATTTTAATTTCAATTCAGGTAGATTTTTTGTGCGCAGAGACGCCAGCAGTGTGAAATTGCACACGCGCGCAGCTTAGAGGGAACATTGCACAGTAGGGATGTGGATCAAAAGGTCAATCGACAGCTCAGTTATCACTTCACTCAATCTGTACTAAGAGCATCTGGCTGGATGATCTCAGCGCTCTTATATATGTTGAGGAGTTTGCTTGAGTAACTGGGCGCCGTACCAATTAAAACTTTGAGAGTAAGTAAAAGAATCTTAACTTCAATACGATAATGATAATAATAAAACTGGAGTGATGTATTCATACCTTCTAACACCTGTTAAAAGATGTGCAGCAGCATTTTGGACTAAGTGCAAGTGATGGAGAGACGAGTGCTGGAGACCCAAACAGAAAGCATTGCAGTCTAGAAGGGATGAAGGCATGAACACGTTTTTCTAGGTCTTTAGGAGGAAGATAAGGCTTTGCTTTGGCCATTTGGAAGCTGGAGGCCACCACCCGATGAAGTCAACAGAACTGCATCGTCAGCGAAAGGGATTAATTACGCTTCTACTTCTACCTCTAACAACTGTAATTCTACCGAGTCTATCACCATCTGTCTCCAGGTGCCTGAGGCATTCTTGGAGCAGCTCAGGGACCCATTTTCCTGATGTTCCGTGTTTCATCCTAATTTATGGCCGTGGCACTCGCTGGTCCTCCTCCCCTTTCTGTTGACTTTAGAGTCAGACCTGTTACAGATCGTCAACTTTTCTTTATTATCAGGTGTGTTTCCAGAATCACTAAAAACTGCTGTAATCAAACCTATACTGAAAAAGGACAATCTTGACAAGACACAAATGAACAACTACAGGCCGATCTCAAATCTCCCGTTTTTAAGATCATTGAAAAAGCAGTTTCTCAACAGCTCAGTTACTTCTTAAAACAGAATAATTGCTACGATGCCTTCCAGTCAGGTTTTAGACAGAACCACAGCACTGAAACCGCTCTGACCAAAGTGTTTAATGACATATGTCTGAATACAGACAGTGGAAAAATGTCAGTCCTAGTTTTACTGGATCTCAGTGCAGCATTTGATACAGTTGACCACAACATATTACTCAAACGACTGGAGAACTGGACAGGTCTTTCAGGAACTGTACTAAACTGGTTCAAAACATACTTAGAAAACAGGAAATACTTTGTATCAATAGGTAACTTCACATCTGAGCAGACAAGTATCACATGTGGAGTTCCCCAAGGTTCCATCTTGGGACCCCTTCTGTTT